CCCTTCACCAAATAATAAGATACAATTTTTTAAAAGAAAAGCTTTGAAACAATCATCGCGGCAATTAACCCATCCACGGCTCCCCAAAACGACTCTCTCTATTAATCAGGAATACAAAAGGGATGGGGGGGGGGGACCGTACAGCAAACCCTCCGTGGGGTACCACCGCCTCGAAACATATTTCTCGGGCCTCGCTTACAAGAGAACGGCGCATTACTCATCGGCCCTGAATTATTCAGTCCTCGGGGCTGCCGCCCGCAGAAGGGAATGTGGAATTTACGGCCGCCCGCCGCATGCGTTTAATTAATCTGAACACTTGTTCCGTACCCAGTCTCCCATAACCAAGCCGTGGGAGGACAGAGAAGCCCAGACAGGTGCCTTATGAATCCCTCCCACAGAACCTGCCAGAGAGGAGGTCAAACGGGGACACGCTTGCCTCAACACTATCGGGCACTTTACACTTCCCTGACAAGCTCGCATCAGTGTCAGGAACTTTAGGCAGGTAACGCCACACACGCAGGCTTCTTCAGAAGATAAGTGTTCATTTGGTAATCCCAGGACTAAAGTAACTCGTATACAGCTTGTGTTAGGAATGGCCTGTAATATGATGGCCGCTGACTTATAGGATATTCAAACTGCCCGCCTCCCCAGTTGCAAAAGCCAATAGTTAGTTTCCATGCACACGGGCAAAAGCTAGCGAGCAAGCATTTTTGCGCCTAAACTGTGAGGTGCAGGGGGGCGGGGCACATGACAAAGCCCCGCCCCCTGCTTCCGGCCGCCCCGCTTCCAGCCCTCATTCAGCCAGGAGGAGGCAGGAGAAGAGGGAGGGTAAGTTGCTTCCTCCCCACCTCTCCCCACCCCTGCCTGCCTGGGGCCAGGGAGGGCCTTGGCGGGGCTTCCTTGCACTCCCGCTGGCCTTGCAGGTCCACCGCCGGGCCCCAGATGTCAGGGGGTGTGGCATATGCTAATGAGTTATGCTAATGAGTTCCCCTAGCTCTTTTTCTATGAAATGACCCCTGGGCAGGGCTACCTGACAATCAGTTCTGTAGGAGAAGGCGCATGGATTTTTTAGCCCCGCTTGTGGACTTTTAAACTATCTGGCCGTTTCTCAGAGGCTAACCGATGGTCAACAAAAATGGAACTTCCGTGTCCTTGCTGAAGCTAAAAATCTTGTGTTTGGTGTAGTGGTTTGGTGTAGTGGTTAAGTGTGCGGACTCTAATCTGGGAGAACCGGGTTTGATTCCCCACTCCTCCACTTGCACCTGCTGATGTGACCTTGGGTCAGTCACAAGCTCTGGCACAGCTGTCCTTGAAAAAGAGCAGTTTGTGTCAGAGCTCTCTCAGCTCCACCTACCTCCCAGGATGTCTGTTGTGGGGAGGGGAAGAGAAAGGAGTTGGTAAGCCACTCTGAGACTCCAAGTGAAGGGCATGGGGAATAAATCCAATCTCTTCTTCTCTTCTTCTTCTTCTTCTTCTTCTTGTGTTACATGACTGTAAATCAATGCACCTGAGCTCCCTTTGTATGTGTGTGTGGTTCTGCATCCCACGGCAGCCATTTTGTTCTTGCACCCGCCACCCTTCATCGGAATTCCAAATCGCCCACAGGCTCAAAAAGACTGGGAAATCCGCCCTGACCTGGATAGCCCAGGCAAGCCCGATCTCGTCAGGTCTCAAAAGCTAAGCAGGGTTGACTCTAGCAAGTACTTGGATGGGAGACCTCCTTGGAATACCAGCAGTCAGGAGGCGGGGGCAGGCTTCATTCAGCCACCTCTCTGAATATCCTCCAGGCCCCCAGTAGGGGTCGGTCACCAGAGGTCAACATGACTTCCAGGTGCACACGCACTCATATGCACACACAATATTAAAACAAACAAACAAAGACTGGGGATCCCTGCTCTATCTGACAGGAGGCATTCTTGACTTTTTTTTAAGTAAAAGAAGGTCTCTGTGTGGTACAGTTCATTTAGGTAACATCATCCCCAACTCCATGTCCACAGTGTCATGGGCGTGGATGAGGATGAGCTGACAGAGCCTGCAGAAACCGCAGCTGGCCCCTCTGAAGCAGCAGAGGAGGATAGCTGGCAAGTGCCTGCAACAGCAGTCTTCACACCTGGCCCAGATAAGAGGGAAGAACTGCAAGCTGAAAGTCCTCCTGACTCACCCCCACACGTGATTCGTTTAAGGGAGCGACTGCGGCAAAACTTAGCAACCAGGCGAAGAGAGGCCAGGCTACAAGGGAGACGCTCAGCCAGCCCAGAGTTCTAACAGGAGCCTGGGCAATCGTGCAGCTGGCTAATTGGTTGTTTTGTTGTTCAGTCGCACAGTCGAGTCCGACTCTTCGCGACCCCATGGACCAGATCACGGGGTCGCGAAGAGTGATTGGTGGCAGCATTTAACTCCACACTCTGGGCAGTACTCTTCGTGGAAGCAACGAGTCAGCTTCGCGCTGCTTGCATTCCCTTCGGCTTGGCTCTTGCACCTAGTGTCAGGTTCTGCCGTGACATCATTAATCAACCTTCCACCTAGACCACTTGGCTCTGTGTTCCTGGCTCCTAACCCCGGGCTTGGCTTTGGACTAAGTTTCTGGTTAGTGATTTGGACTTGGCTCTGTGTTCCTGGCTCCTGACCCCGGCTTGGCTTTTTGGACTTTGCACTGTCTTCTTGGCTCCTGACCTTGGCCTGTTTTGGACTCCCTTTGACCGGCACCCCAGCCCATGACACACAGGATCCTCAGAACAACTTAAAAGAAGTTCACTAAAAAAGCAACAAGCCAGATGTTGAACGTCTGGAGAAACTTCCTAAAGGTACAAGCAGCTGGACGGTTCCTCGAGGGGGTAGGGCCCTCCCTTGGTGGAGGTCTTCAGGCAGCGTCTGGACAGCCGTTCTTCTGGGATAATCTAGTTTTGGAGGTGTTGCCCTGAACGGGGGTTGGACCAGAGCGACCTGCTGTCCTACTCTATGACTTTATGATGGAACATCAACATCTAAAACCGAACCAAACTGCTTTAACGTGAAAAACCAGGCTAGTGTGCAGTTAACACAAACAAGAACAGCCAACCTGCGGCGTTCTTGCTTATTGGGGAGACAGTTTTACCTTTAAACACGCTTTGTGTACCTAAACTTGGTAGATTTCTGCTGCCACCAGGAATTAAAATTTCCAAATCTCTCTCTCTGCTGGTAGAATGACCTAGGGTCTGGGAACTTCAGAAAACTATGTGGCCCTGAGGAAGGACTGTACTGATTTCGGGGATAAGTTTAAACAAAAATTGATTTATTTAATAAAGGACAAAATAGGTTTCTGGTTATTTTGAACAGTTACTGAAGAAAGGAACTTGTAGATATAACTGGCAAAGCTTGGTGCCACAAACAGTCTCTCAAACGCCAAACTCCACTCTGACAGGCTTATACACTCAGTATACTCTCTCATCTATATAGCCACCCAGGCTTAGTCTCTTTGTTTTATTCACACTGAATGGAATCAGCTCTCTTAGTCACACAGACTAAACGGTTGGTCTTATTCACACAGAATTAGACTCAAAATCCCATAGTCACACAGACCATGTTCTCTCTTCAAACTTCACACACAGAATCACTTCACAGACACCCCTCCTCCCACACTCTCAGCAGCCAATCAAATCACACTCATCTTGCCTCCGCACAAATTCTACTAAGTGTCTCGCCCACAAAGCCTCTTGGAACCAACCAGTCAGCTCCACCCACTAGGTGCAGCTACCATTGGATCATAACGTGCTTCAATCACTCATCCAGCCCCCCCCCCCAGGGTCTACTGGCCTGCATATTAAATCACAGCTAGCATACATATTAAAACCTAGAAATGAAATACACACTACATAATTACATAGTGAAAACATCACATAGCAGTTTGATGCAAGTTAATCAGGAAAGAGGATGCTGGGTTCTGGGATGGACCCCTGAGCTGCTAGGTTTCCTAGTGGAAGGCCTTCCTGTTCCTACCTTAAAAGATGGTTTTGAGGACTACTGTGAAGTACTCTTAGCACAGAAAGAGCTAAAAGTATCAGCAATGGGCTGTTGGTGTCAATGATATTTGCGAAAATATGTCCTTTGAATTAGCATTTACTCATGTCCCATTGCGTTGCAGTGGCTCAAGTGGTGAAGAGGTAGTTCAGCAGTTCGAGACCCAATTGCCGTGTGACGGAGTGAGCTTCCGTCTCTGGTCCCAGCTCCTGCCAACCTAGCAGTTCGAAAGCAAGAAATTGCAAGTCGATAAATAGGTACCGCTTCGGTGGGCAGGTAACAGTATTCCATGCGCCTCAGTGTTTAGTCACGCCCAGGGGTCATTTCGTAGAAAAAGAGGTGCAGGAGCTCATCCGCGTGACTCATTAGCGTAACTCATTTGCATAGGCCACACACCCTTGACATCACCGGAGGTGTGTCAGAAGGCAACACCCACCACTCAGGCTCCACTGGACTCTTTTGGATTGCTAGCTATTGGGGGAGGGGAGAATGTGCAGATCTGTCCTTGCAGAGGAGGGAGAGCTTGTACCTGAATAAAACTTGGTCCTAAAGGTGCCACTGGACTGTTTTGGACCGGGGGGGCGGGGGGGCTCTGCAACTTACCTGGCTGCTTCTTGCTCTGACTGAGGGCTGCTGGGAGCAGGGGGCGGGGCTTGTTGCATGTGCCCACCCCCTGGGCTCTTTACTGCCAGAGCTCCGCTCCTGTGCGCTCCTGCAGGAAATGACCCCTGGTCACGCCGGCCATGTGACCATGGAAATGTCTTTGAACAGCGCTGGCTCTTCGGCTTGGAAACGGAGATGAGCACCGCATCCCTAGAGTCAGATTCGACGGGCTTTCGAGCAAGGGAAACCTTTACCTTTTACCTAGTGTCCCATTAGAAAACTTGTTCTTCCTCGAGAAGCTTCTAAGCATATGCAGAAGGCAGAACAGAGCTCCTATGGTAAGAGCTACATGAAATGCATACTTTAAAAATACAACAGACTGTGGATCGAGCTGTACTTACATGATACAGAGCCAGGACTGCTGATATTGTACCCCCGTGACGGTCGCTGTGACACCCTGAATTGTATCCGACAGGAGGTGAACTGTCCCCACCAAAAAAAAAGAAAGAAAGAAAGACAAGTTGAAATTTATTTAAGAATTAGGGCGGCCTCACACAGCTCGCCTGGAAACTACCAGTTAAAAATCTCATGTAGGAGTAGGAGATGGGAAAGACCTCCGCCTGAGACCCTGGAGAGCAGCTGCCAGTCTGAGTGGACAATACTGACTTTGACGGACTGAGGGTCAGATTCAGTCTAAGGCAGTGTCACGGTCTAAACTTTTCTCAAAGGGCCGTTTTGCTGCTGTTGTCTCTTCACAGCAGAAGGACCAGCTCAGGAGATAGGAGGATTAAACAGTTACCGTTAAAAACACCCAATCGTTGATAAAAAATATCATATCATAGCCTTCAGATGTGAAGTTCGATAGAGTTAATGCATGGGAGAAAGCTGCCCTGAGCACTGTTCCCTCTAAGCTGAGTTAGTGTGAGCTAGCTCACAGTTTTTTAGCCTCTGGCTCACACGTTTTTGTCCTCGCTCAGGAAGGAGGGCTACAGAGCAAACTGATTTATGCAGTCGCCAAATCGCCCGCTCACAATTTTAATGCCAGTAGCTCACAAAGTAGAAGTTTTGCTCACAAGACTCCACAGCTTAGAGGGAACTTTGGCCCTGAGCCCATTTTGGGGGTAGAGCGGGGTATAAATTCAATCAATAAATAAATCAGTTTGGAATACATAGATATATACAAGTGGGAACCCGCGAGGAATTGCGGGGGGGG